CTGTGTGCGCCATCGTGCGTTTGCATGCAGATGCTGGGATCCTGAACGGTGCAGCTGGAGCGCTTGGTCCGTAATGACGTCACACATAATTTGGCGGGATTTGAAGAATCCCCGAGAAGATCCAGAAAATGGTCAACATTGAAGGGGAGATTAATGGTTATCAAAGTACAAATATCCAAAATCAGTTCAGTAAAGGTTTTCAAGGGGACAATATTTACTCAAATTGATGGGTTTGGATGATGGGGGAAACTTGGGTCACAGGCTCTTTAAATGTTGTTTTTCAACTTTTTCCCGTAAAAGGTTGGTCTCTGGCTTATTCCTGTCCCAGCTGGACTACGGTGACACAATCTATAGATTTCCCTGTCCCACTGTTTTGGCCACACTTGACCCACTCTACCATGCTGAACTGCGTTATATATCAAATGCACCCGATAGGACTCATCATTGCAAACTGTATAGCCTAACTGGATGGTCCTCACTTACTATGCGTAGGATGCAGCACTGGTTTTTATTAATGTATAAAGCCATTTAGGTAAGCTTCCACTCTACATATGTGCCAGATTTGCTCCAGTTTGTGAGTCTTACAACCTCAGATCCAGTGTCTGGATATGGTTCCAGGTACCTGCTGTGCGGACTGAGGCTGGAAAAAGCAGTATTTTTTTATTATGGTCCTTGGTCTTGGAATGACCTTCAATCAAACCCAAAACTGAGGGCACTTGTCTCAATAGCATGTTTTAAATTGAAGTCGTCTGAAGTCCTTACCACCAGCTGCTCTTGCAGTAATAAGTAGTGCACCTTTCTTACTGTCCTAATGTGCACAATGTAGTGACTGCTTTTCGTCTTTTGTTTTCTTAGTTATGTTCTCTGTATTTTATATGTCTGTGTTATGTGTAATAATGTGTAACGTTGCTGCCTTCTTGGCCAGGTCAGCGTTTTAAATGAGATTTTATCTCAATGCCTTATATCTGGTTAAATAAAGGTTAAATAAAAAGGAAATGATAAAGCACAATATGCCTTCTTCTCTCCTCTTCTCATATTCCACTTCTTTTTCCCCTTCTTCTCTTTGTCTTTTTTCTTTAATTGAGATATTTATATATCTTGATTCTTTATTATGTGAAAGTATTGCTTAAGTTTATTCATTTTAAGGAAAAACATAATATAATCACTTTATAATTACATAATAATAATAAAGACAAATGGAATATCTGCCTGGAATTGGACTAACCGGGATGTATTCCAGTGCTTCAAACCCTTAATAGTCTCCCATGTTTTTAAACTAGGGCAATTTTCACTCAGTATCAGCAATAGGAATAACCAATATTTTTAAGAAACAAATAAATGCTAACTAACTGAATTAGTCTATTGTTCTACATGTTCCCTTTGCTCTGTGTCTCTACCTGCTTGTAGTCCAGCTCGTGGATGGGTGCGTCAGAGAAGCAGTAGTGATGGAAGAGGCCCATCTTCTGGTTGAGCAGGCAGTGCACCACATGCGCCCGGGCGTTCTGCCACCTCACCAGGCGGAGCAGCTCACGGTTCAGAGAGGAGCCCAGGTCCACAGACCAGTTATAGCTGTACAGAGTCACCTGAGGCAAAGAGGGCAACTATATGAGTCCATCACATACATAATATGTCACATATGCACATCTGTGGCTTTTAAATCTCAGGGAGGACAAGTGGTAAGAGAGTGAAAACCATCCTAAAATAGTAACGGATTCATTCAAAAGATCTATTAATTAGCTAGTATTGGCTTTGTAACACTTGTGTACGATAACACTGATCATGACAATCAACATATTCTGTGCAATAACTGCTATATGCAATATAACCTTTATTTAAACTTGATACTTATGGCTGTTACTTCAATAGTTGTAGATGTTCACTTGTTTTTTACCATGGATTTGTACTTATTTAATTGTATTTACTAGTGCTTGACTATTTATTCAATGTTACTCTACTGTTTGTATTTGTTTCCAATTATCTGCACTGTACTTTTGTTGTCATTTGGGATCAAAGGAAAACATCTCAAACACATGTGTCAAAACCTGGACAAATATGTACACACATGCTGATTTACTCCTGAATCTAAGTGAGATATTTTTTTAAATGGACATGAGGGGCAGTGTAATTCAGGGATCAGAGATGTATTCACAGCTCAATCAATCAGGATCTTTTGTTAGTAAGAACTCTTGTCTGGAGGCACATTCACAGCACTAAGACTTCCATATCCCAACCTTTTTGTCCACGATGCAGATGAAGAGGAACCTCTGGCGGGGGGCCAGTCCTGCCCCGGCCTGGCTGGGGCTGAACCCATCGCTGTGCTCCAGAGCCTCGAAGCGCTGGAAGCCCTTATGAGCTGTGAGGAACAGACAGTTAAGTCGTTTATGAGCTAATTCCTATCCATTCATATATATACCTAAATTAATCAATTAGAGTGTCAATTGCTTAATTAAATGCAATCGTGGTAATAATAATAATAATAATAATAATAATAATCTGTGATTAATGATGATTGAAATAATAGGGTTTGGTTTTATTTTTGGGCGGAGATAAAATAAATACATGTATTGTGTTGTTATATAGAAGTGCATGTAAAAATGGTAGGAGAAATCAGAGGTTTTTTTCTTTATTATAACAAGGTTTGTGAATTAAGGGCATGAAGACAGTTTTTGGACACAATCACAGAGAGCCGCTGTGATTGCTCTCTGTATCGTGGGTGCTACACAGGGCATATGCTAAGACATAAGAAACTAGTTGGCACAGGCAATTTATTGTAAAAATCTGTGCTGTAATTACAGGAGGAAGTTGCGGTCAAACTTGGTAGTGTGATTCATTTGCATTTGTTTTATTATGTTAAGGTTCCAGATTAGATCTCATGCATTTTCATATCAGAATGTCCTTTTCCTGTGAACATTTTAAGTAAGTCTTTGGTCACATATATCACCAAGCATCAGATCCTTTGCGCAAATATATAGACTGCCTGAGTGTTCTCTGGTGTGCCAGGTAAAGGAGATAGTAAGTGGGAGTCATAAATAAATAACCTGAATCTGAGCCTAAGATTGTTCTGACTTAGATTTGAGGAGTCATTGGAATGAATCATCTTTCGAAAAAGAAGCTTACTGCAGGCATTGTTTGGGATGTAGGGACAGAGAGTGGCTGTGATCAGAATGGATGGTGAGAGACAAGGTGACTGCACACTGCTATTGTTCATCTTCTGTTTCTCCTTGGCCAAGTCTTTTGATTAAATATTCAGTTTGTCAGACATCATATCAGTCTGCAGCTCTCTTGTTTTCCAGAGGAACTCAGTGAAACGGCACAGCAGTATGAATCAAAAGCAGACAGGAGACCGACTCCTACTGACTGTCGGCATCTGTTCTAACTAAAGTGGAGGATAACAGACACTGGGCAGCCCCTTACCATGGCTTTAAAAACACATGAACTGGGGAACTGCCCATAGGCCACATTAATTGAATGAGGCTTCACTGAGAGGCTTCCACAGTTAGGCTTGACCCATCATTAAAAATGTTGGGTTGCGTAACGTAACCTTGGTTCATTGCTGATAGAGTGAGGCAATTCCAACACATTCAAAAAGTTAGAAAATGAAGAGTAATGCTTGTCTGGAAAGTTAGTATTTGTCTTTAATATTCTCCACATTCAAGTAACAATATGCTGTGCAGTTAGGAAGGAAATGATGACGGTGTGCTTAGCTTCTGGCCTTAAGTTCTGCCTGCCTGATCTCGGATGTGTGCTTCTGAGTTCAGACCGGGCTTCTACTGAGCCTTTTGACTATTTATTAATGCACTTGAACAACAATAAAAGTGCAATTGATTTATAAGCCAATAATTGTAATAAAATGTGTCAATATCCCTTTTATTTAATGTTTTTATGTTATCTATTTTCCTTTTTATTGTGTTTCAAATAAACATATTGGACTCACTGATGTCTGTCTGTGCAGGTTATGTTGGCACGGCTCTTTTCATACATTTATGGGCTTATGAAAGAGGTGTTTTAGATTTAGATTTCTTCTAATATGATCTTGGTCTGTGTTCAGAAGCAGTTGCCTTTAAACGATGGCATTTTATCTTGCCAAAATGTACTTAAATTAGCTCAAAAAGAGCCAATATCTAAGCTTGGCACTTTACCAATTTCAGTGACGGTACTCTATCATTTGTACCCAAATTGCCGTTGCACTAGCTTGTGAGTGAAATGCTGGCAGTGGGATGCTGTTGTTGATGTCTGGCAGAGCCCTACAGTCAGAGGGCAGGAGAGGCGGTCATTGCCAAACCAGGTTATGTTTGTTTTTTCTCTCTTCTACCATTTTTGTTTCACTTTAGTTGGGCAAGGTTTACCCACATAAACCTCTAGAAATCTCCCTCTCTTTATCCACTACTAGACATTGCTTAGCGCCTCGCACCTTGATGCACACATATCGGGTCCTATGTCATGTGTTTCATGTATAATTAAGACCCATCTTTTAACTTGAATTGTATTAGTCTTGTATTAATCGCAAAGCTATGTGATATAGATATGTTTACTATTGGGAGTGGAGAGGGGAAGTATTTTTATTTCTATGTACCGTAATTTTCGGACTATAAGCCGCGCCTTTTTTCCCATTTTTCGACCCTGCGGCTTATATAACGGTGTGGCTAATCTATGAATTTTTACAGCTAACGGCCACTAGGGGACCTCCTAAATCTATGGATTTTACAGGTTACAGTCCACCACCTTTAACTGTATGGGCTCTATGGCCGGTCCGCGCCCCCCACCTTTAAGCGGCAGGCTCCAGCAGGAAAAGCTGGAGGCCGGAAAAGAGTGAGACAGGTAGCGCGCAAAAGTAAGAGTGGAACCGAGAGTGGTACGAGAGACAGAACGAGAGCAAGACAGACAGACATTGCGAGAGCGAGACAGTTTGTCCCCGTACCACTGGTTGAAAACCACTGCTGTAGATCACTGCCGGTACGTGCGCTGGGAGCGCACCGTTTAAGTTTGAAAGTTGAAAAGTTTGTGTGTCTGAAACGCTATGTGATACAGTACAGTTTACACAGCACAGTACATGTTCTGTAGCTACTATTGCACTAAATGGTAACACTTGAATACGTTATGCAAATATGCAACTTGTTTGTTGAAATGTTAATAAATGGGAGCTTCCTCAAACAGCCATCTCTTTCCCGACAATCCCCTCTGTGCACGAACCCTTACATATGGTAATTAAACATTAAAACACCTGCGGCTTATAGTCCAGTGCGGCTTATATATGTACACATCATTCAATTTAGCTGCTGCGGCTTATATTCAGGTGCGCCTTATAGTCCGAAAATTACGGTATTATTTATGTGTTTGGCTTGTGAAGCACTTTTTGTTAACTTTGCGTATGAGTGCTAAATAAATAAAGTTTGATGTGATTTTTTGTTTGATGTAAAAAGGTTAGAAGTGTCTTTAAGATTGAAATCTAATTGCACTGTGTCCCCTTTAAAGATGTGTTGAATACATATATTTAATAAATCAATCAAACATGTATATTAAGCACTGCCATTCCTTCAAACAACAATATCAAACATCTCCTCAGCATTGATGATCTAACCTGAAAGGCAAACTTACGTGTGAACCTATTTAGCACTGCGATGTTTTCCTCATCTGAACAGTCTTCTGTAGGCAAACAGAGATGGAACAAACAGCAAGGCAAGGACAGTGAAGCACACGGCACATGGACACAAACTGATGTAAGCACACACTTTGCAAATCACACAGAAGTGTTAGACGTCTGCTAGCATGGACAAAGAAACACAGAAACAAAGAGAAGCAGCAAGGAGTGCATGTTGAAAGCTTCGACACAAAACATGCTCAGACTAGTGTTGTTTAAAAAAGAACAAACAAATCTCTTTGGAGAAATCGTTCAGCTGGTCCACCTTAAAAGTCAGACCACCTTAAACTGTAGTTGTTGTCGCTGCTAGCATCGGGACCTGATGTGGGGCAATACTAAAATAATACATTTGCCCAGTTATATCTATTAAGATTCTGATCTAATTCTTCTCATACTGTATATTCTACTGTATAGCCGAAAAAGATTTAAATACGCCACTTTGCACAAACCTGAAAACCTACATCTTATTTTATTTATTATTATTACCTCATTCAAATTCCATTTCAATCGAATTGAACAAATATTGTCCATGTAACTGCAGCTATTATTCAACTAAAGTAGAACATTTTTCCAATGTATAATTTTCTCCCCAGATCATTTTTCATTATGTACCAACTTATTATACATTTCACGTAACTTGTTTTAAACGTGGTAAAAGCGGAAAAAAAACACATACATTTTGTAATAACCCGAGTAAAAAAGTGTGAATAGCCTCAACTGAATAATTGTTATAAGAATGAGTTTGTGAATAAGTTGTGCAGAATGCCAGAGGTATTTTTAAATTAAAATACCTGCAGGCAGAGCACAATCTTCTACTTCTACTTTGTGGTCAAGCAACTGTTTCTGTGTTAAGAAAAAAACAAGCTATAGAAACACTGGCATTGGCATTTACCTTGCTCTGTGCTGCAGTGCCACTGGTGGAAGTTGCGGCCAATGAGAATGAAGCTCCTTGTAGCGTCTGGAGGCTGGCTGAGGGTCTGGACAAGAGGACAGGGGACAAACATTTCCCCAGATGCTGGACACCTAGAAATGAAAGAAACAAATCAAATATACATATTACTATGATGTATAAAACTCAGGTTTGTATATAAGAATAAAGGGTTATAAGATAATACGAGATCCTCTACCTGATGATGATTTATTTTGCATTGCACGGTTATGTGCTGTTGTATAAGCTCTAATCAAGGCTTTCTCATTTCATAAGCAACACACAACTCACCTTGTCTTTTCAAAAGCCTTCACTGTTGTGTCATTTGCCAGGGAGCTGACTAAATTGACAATCTCTGCCAAGATGGAGGGCAGCAGGAAGTGTGAAGCCACGTCAGCCGTGCACTGCTGGATGGAGGGGCACCCTGGTGTTTGGCAGCCAGGTCAGAGAGAAAGAAAAGAAAAACAGAAAGTGAGAGATACTTCAGAATACAGAATATAACACCCTCTTATCTGTCAAAGCAGCGAACGTATTTGTTCCATGCATTAGGGAATATGACACTTACCGAGTTCAGCCATGAAGGTGATCCATGGCTGGCAGGTGAGCTGGTAGACGGGGTGCAGAGCGCCCGCATCGCCCTCCTCCAACTGGGTCACCTGCCTCCTGCACCGACACAAACACATTCGTCTCCTCCGCTTGACTTAGCATTTTTTTGAATAAAAACATGCATGTGTCTACCAATTGTTTGCATGTAGGTTTAATATTCAACTTTCTTAAGCTATGGATCTGAGAGCGCCAAATTCTTAGTAAAATCTATTCAGCCACGTAATGCTATATACACTGAACAAAAAAAAACACTTTTGTTTTTGCTCCCATTTTCATGAGCCAAAATCTATGTTCTAAGACTTTTTCTATGTACACAAAAGGCATATTTCTCTCAAATATTGTTCACAAATGTGTTTAAAGGTTTCCTATTATACTATTTTCAGGCATATATTATAGGTCTCAGATATATAAAAAAACATGTCTCTGAAATGTTTTGCTCAAAGTACCAAACAGATCACCCATTCTAGCCATGCTGATTCTGGGTACGTAGCTTTAAAGAGAGAGAGGAGAGCTCATGCAGGAGAATTCTACCCAGATACTCAGCTAAATGCTGCCGTGATGAAACGCCATGTTATGTTCCAAACCACATCAAGGATTATTTCTGAAACAGGATGGAGCTCAAATGCTTTTTCTCTTGCTTGTTTACTACAAGGTGAGTTCCTTTTTTTTTCTTCCTGCTTCTTTACACATACTTTCTCCAGTACAGTTTAGCTCTGAGTGTTAGCGATGCTTGCTAATGTGAACACAAACCATATTACTTCCAAAACAAGTCGTGCATTGTTTCTGATAGCGACGTTTCTGATAGAGCCGTGGGTGTAAAGCCAGCCCACATTTCCAATATTAAGTAATATCGGCAGCCAATCTGGATCAGCTCCGTTGAACCCCCTTTTTAGAGATGTGGGTAAGGAGGAAAAGAGAGAGGGTTGTATTTTCGGACATTTTGTGAGTCTCCTTACACACTGGGGACACATATTTATGTTTAAAAGACATCAAAAAGTGCATTTTCAATAATAGGGGACCTTTAAATCTGTGTTATTGAGCACGTCTGCCTGGCCAAGATAATCCATCCACCACACAGGTGTGGAATATCTAAATGCTGATTAGACAGCATGAGTATTGTATAGGTGTGCCTTAGGCTGGTCTCAATACGAGGCCACACCGAAATGTGCTCTTTCATCTCACAGCACAATGCCACAGATGTCACAAGTTTTGAGGGAGCGTGCCTGCTGACTGCAGGAATGTGAAGAGATGCGTGAGGCAAATGGTGGTCAAACCAGATACTGACTGGTTTTCTCACACAGTAATAAATGTCTCTTTTCAAGATAAATCCTTTGGAGTGGCCTTTTTTTGTGACCAACCTAAGGCTGTCTAATCACTCAGCATATTGATATGCCACACCTGTGAGGTGGATGGATTATCTTGGCAAAGGAGAAGTGCTTACTATCACAGATTTAGAAACCTTTGTGAACAATATTGGAGTGAAATATGCCTTTTGTGTACATATACAAAGTCTTAGATCTTTGACTTCAGCTAATGAAAAATGGGAGCTGAAACACAAGGGTTGCGTTTATATTTTTGTTCAGTGTATGTTATAGCCAGCTGGTCTCTAATGTGTCTGTGCTGTTTTCCTGCTGGATAAGTTGTGTACATCTAGACTGTATATGTAGAGTGTACAGTGAGTTTCTTAGGCAATTTTACTGTCAATCAAACATGTGCATTGCCCTGCCCACTTAGGGATCTGAATATCAATCAATATGGAAATTATTTTACAGGGGTTTTTCTGTGGTGAGCCTTAGCGGTGTCTGGTATTAGTTGAATGCTGTGATGTTCCTGATAATGCTTGTGGTACTCCACCTCTGGGCCTGCTCCAGCTCCACAGCGAGAGCCTTCTCCTGGCTCCACTGCTGCTTCACGCTCTCCGTCTTGTGCCTCCGTCTGGCTGCTTTGCCCTCCTCTCCCTTCTCCTGCACGATGTCATCAGTGGTCTTTGGGCTGCCCAGCTCTGATGAATCTGGCTTACTCTGCAAGGATGGAGAGGAACACATAAAAGTGATGGGAGGATCTCAGGAAAGGGACTCGCTCAGAGAGACAAACTGAATCCAGACCTTCCTGCAGTTATGCAATCATGGTTTAAAACTCACAAATGGCCAACTAATTCTAAATACACAGTATATAAGAGCATCATTCAGATTAGCTCTGTCTATGAACTCAGGGTTGTTTCTTTGTGTTGCAAGTGATCTGAATAATTATCTAAACTTGGTATATATATGTGTGCTTATATATGTTCCATATTTTATGGAACAACATGTCTTTCAGTGGCAACTGGAAGCCTATCAGAGCAGTCGTTTTTTCTATGAGGTGTACCACCAGAACTGGTTTTAAATCAAACCAGTTCTTTCATTGATTGATGCTTAGAATCCAATTAAGCTTCAACAACTTTAAATTAAAGAAAGCTAACTCTAAATTATATTACCACAAAGTCTAAACTGACAATATTAAAACAGGCAAACAATGTCATTCATAAAAACAAATAAATATAAATGGTTTCATTTATACATAAAACTAACATTGTAATTCACTAATTCCCGACACAAAATATTTAATCATAATTACAAAATGGTGAAAAAGTATATGACTATTCCTAAGGCACATTTACCTAATGTCAACCGGAAATAATATCTCAAATATATGTGGCAAACAACTCAAAAGAATACCTGAGCGCTTACATCTGACATTTTCATTTAACTAGAGGTTGGCTTTTACTATTCAAGACATGTTGGTAAGCTGGTATTCAATAATTCATTCTAGGTATTAGAAATGTTCAGAAAACCCTAAGAATATTACCCGCAGGGAGGTGGATCCAGTTGATTCATTATTTCAGTCAGCATATTCAAATAAATCTCAGAACACCTATACTATCAATTTAACACAAACAAACTGACCAGTATGTCCCAGAAGCTCCGGCGGGTGCTCTTGCTGGTGGGGGTGGTGGACTCGGGGGTGATGGTCCCGGGCAGGGGGCTGCTGCCTCCAGCCTGGGTCAGGGTGATGGGAGAGGGGCTGCTTTTAAAGACCCGGGAGCCGCTGCGCTGCCGGGGGCTGCCCTTCACTTCCTTCACCTCAGGCAGCGGGACGAACTGCCCTGAAGACCACCACAGACAGAAAACAGGCGTTCATATCCAAGAAAATTTCAGAATTTCCGATTTTCTAAAATGATGATCCTTCTTAGTGTTTTTCTCATTAGAGGCGTTCAATGATGTTAAAGTTGTTGATAAGTCCACAACTTTTTCAAATGTAGTTTTATACACATATTGAGACACACATAAAGATATATATTTCTTGTATTAGCCTATAGCTGTAGTGTAATCAAGGCACTAAAGCAGGGGTATTCAACTAATATTCAACGAGGTCCAGTTAGAGAAAATGTCCCCATGCAAAGGTCCGGAACATCAAAATGTCTAAGTTGCTTCATGAATTAGTGTGATATGTATTGAAGTGACCTGTAGCTGTATCAACGTCTGCATGTAATCAACAACTGACTGCCAATCAAATAAAGAAAGTACAATTCATAAACAACAATATTTATTGTCAATTAACATTGAACTCTACAGATATACAGTAAATACTGTGGATATGTGTAATATTCCTCTCAGGCTGCATTTAAAAAATAAAATAGAGAAAATAAATAAAATAGCTTTTGAAAATGTGTGCATCTTAAAAGTGCTTAATTTTAGATAAATAAAATAAAGTGTAGCAGCAGCTT